CCAAGGGACTATAAGATGGGGCAATTTTTTTTTTTTAACCTCTGGTGCAGATGTGAATCTTTGAGGTTTAGAGGTCAGACTATGGTACTTTGAAAAATGCGTCCCAACCCCACCAAAATAAATTCATATCCTAATCCCTAGAATATGTTACCTTGCAATGAAAAAGAATTTTTAAAATATGATGACATGAAGTATCTTGAGATATAAATAAATGATAAAAATAAATAATAGGAGGTTCTACGTAGACTCGATCTAATCATGAGGGTAGTTAGAAGAAGGAGGTAAAAGGTCAGAGAGAGGGCGATGTCCCAACATAAGGAGAGAGGGGAAGAGAAGGCAGTGTGTTAAAGGGCTACAAGCCAAGGACTGGGGCTGGCCTCTGGAAGCTGACAAAGACAAGAAAACAAATCTCCCCTAGTGACGCCAGAAGAAGCCAGCCTTGTTGACACCTCAACTATGTCCCAGTCAGAATAACTTGGGATTTCTAACCTCCCGAACTGTAAAATAATAAATACATGTTGTAAGCATCTAAGTTTGTGGTGTTTCATTACATACGCAACAGGAAACTAGCATAGAATGTAAGAGGTGTTACATATAAGTAAATAATCAGGAAACACCTCTCTAGGATCTATAATTGATAAAGTATTTTACATACATATACCCACTATAGATACACAAATTCTATCTGCCCCATCAAAAGTTCTTCAATTTGTTACAGAAAAACAAGTGTATAAATGATATACGATGCTGGCCAGCAAGTGGCATGGTGGTTAAGGGTGCTGGAGTCCCACATGGCTGACCATAGTTCAAGTCCCAGACCTGGCCGCTTGCTTTCTCACTTTCCCTCTGTCTCTCTCTCTCACTCTGTCCCTCTCTGATCAAATTAAAATAAATAAATAAAGTGAAATAAAATAACTCTTTTAAAAAATGATATACGATGCAAGTATGCATATATCAACTTTACTTTTGAAGGAAGAAAAAAATGACATTCAATAGAAGAAATCAAGAGTTTTTCCTGACTCTAACTGCATCTCATACAAGAAAACTATTGAGAATACACTTAAACTTGAATTTAAGCCACTAAATTGTGGTAGCGAGTGTGCGATTAATTTCTGTTTCTCCTACCATAGTATTGAGCACACTGTTTTGCACGGTGGTGGTGTTCCATAAATGTTTGTTGATTAAATAAATGACTGAGTAAATGAAAAAGTAAATGAGAAAAAGTTACATCCCTAGCCAGGTTTTACTTTGACCAAATGCAGTTTTTATTTCAGATTAATCTAGAATGAACTGATGCTAAAATAGATATAAACAGGTTTTTAATAGGATTTCTTTTTTAGGCCACTTAAGGTCAACCCAAAAATAAATTTAAAAATAATTAAACAAATAAAAAGAGTTTCCAGTTCTGGTTAGAAAGCAGATGGTCAAAAAAAAAAAAAAATCAGTCCCACTCTAACAATGAGAAAATAATATACTTTCAAAACTTATTGCCTATTTTTTGTTGTTTTTTTTTAATGATTATTTATTTTATTTTATTTATTCATTCATTTATTTTTTAGTTTGACCAGAGAGAGACAGAGGGTGAGAGTGAGAGAGAGAGGAAGTGAGAAAGCAAGCCACCAGATCCAGGACACAAACCCTGGTCGGCCATGTGGGAGTGTCCAATGCCTTAACCACCACGCCATCTTCTGGTCCCAAAAACTTATTGTTAAAGATGTTAAAAAGGTCTGGACTAGGGTAGACAGACATTGGTAGCTGGCTTCACCACTAGGCCTGTGGATGCAGATGAGTTAGCCTGCTATTGGCAAAGAAACTTTGCTAAAATACAGACAAACCAGCCAATCGTTTATTGGTCAAGAATTGGCTGGCATGGCAGATTGGAAAATGAAGAAACAGCTAACCCTCCCAGCCAGCCAATTCTCCTTCAATATTTCTACTTAGCAAGCACTAGTGGTAGAAGAAGCTGGTGAGAAGGTGGAAAGCAGAAAGAGTTCCCATAATCTCTCGCATGCTTTGGTCGCAGGCTCTGTTGCAGAGTCAGGTCTCACCACCAAGAAGAATCCAGATAAAATACCCAGCTCAACTCTTGATTAGAACAAAGTGCTGTGGTCAAGTCCCTTCAGCTGCCTGACAGGGGAGAAGGTAAGGCTTTCTGGGGATAAATATGGCCTACTTCAGTCTTGGTGTTCTTTCAAACACAATTTTTAAAAAGACAAATCATGAAGCAGAAAAATGTGACCCATAATTGAGGGGAGTAGGCCGGATCAATGAAATTACTTAAAGTGATAAAGGGAAAAAGAAAAAAAATATCTAAACTAAACAAGTAAATAAAAAGTGGCAACCTAGACAGTTGGAGCAATGGAAAAGATTCCTGAAAAAAGTAGGAGTGAAAGAAACAAAGGCATTTCCAGACCAATAAAAACAGAAAACTCATCCTCCTCTGTAAGAAAAGAAAGCTGTATAGACTAAAGGGAATGATCAGAGAGAAAAAGCAAGGTCTGCAGAAAGGAATGATAATCAGTAGGGTAAAAATCATGGGAAATACCAAACAATACAGCATTAATTTCTTTAAAAAATACTGACTGTTGGAAGTAAATATAATGTTATATGATGGGATTATAATATATAGGAAATAAAATATGACAACAATAAAAATAATGCAAAACACAGGAAGGATAAAGAGAATTACACCATTATAAGCTTGTTAAATGTTTCACAAAGTTGTATGATAGTTATTTATGGTAAAGTATGATGAATTCATTAGGCACATTATAATCTACATTAACCATTTAAAAATCATATAAAATGATACAGTTAAATAGCAACAGAGGAAACAAAATGTAATATTAAAAAAAAACAAAAACAGCAAACCTCAATTTCTAAACAAAGGAATAAGGAAATAAAGAACAGATAAGGAACATGAGGAAGAAATAAAAATATGATAGAATTAAGCCCAAGAATATAAAGAATTATATTAAATGCAAATATATTCATCAATCCAATTAGAAAGCAGAGACATTAACTCTGGATTTAAGAGAAAAAGAGCCGTCTTTATACTGTTTATAAGAGACACTTTTTTTAAGAATTAATTTTTATTTAACCTTATTTATTTGTTTATTTATTTATTTTAATTTGACCAGAGAGGGACAGAGTGAGAGGGAGGGAGAGGAAGAGAGAGAGAAAGTGAGAAAGCAAGTCGTCAGGTCCAGGACTTGAACCGTACTTAGCCATGTGGTAGTCCAGCACCCTTAACCACCACACCACCTGCCGGTCCCAAGACACATATTTTAATATAAAGACACGGAATAAACATAAAATGATGAAAAGATCTACACTGCAAATACTAATCATAAGAAAGCCAATGTGTCCATGTTAGTACCAAAAAAAGTCAACTTTAAGAGAAAAGTATCATTAATGATAAAGATGGATATTTCAAGACAAAATACTCATTAACCAAACTCCAATTTGGCTCTCCTCTTATGCCAATAAGACTGAGAAATCTATTTTTTTACAGCTCATAATTTCTTAAGGTTTATGAACCCCCAGTCTATTTATAAGCCTGTATTCAAAAACTACTTTTCAAATTCGTGTTATCTTAAAATTCAAGTTTGCTTTTCAAGTCCCTGATCCTCTCAATCCTTGACAACCATTCTTATTATCATTTACTTAATTCTTGCTTAAGTCATTTACCTGAAATGTCACCTTCTGATTAATGTCTGAGACACGGAACTGCTTCAGGAATCTCTCATCCTCACTCCAGAACAGGCGAATGTCGGGGATGTCATACAGGATCATGGCCAGTCTTTCTAGTCCTAGGCCGAAAGCCCAACCAATTCGATCTTGGGCGCCAGCTACAATTAGAAAACAAAACAAACCAATAGTTTAAAGAATACATACTAGACGGTGGCATACCACTCTGAGAATTATTGGTAACCCTGGCTGAGCGCCCACTAGTGGCAGTACACTGGGGAGCAGCTACAGAGACAACGCGAGAGTGTCTGCTCTCAACATTTTGCCTCCTCTCTACGTTTTCTTCCCTCATGGAAGCACTCTGTTGTAATACTATCTGCAGTATTGGCTTTCATTTCTTTTTTTCCATTTAAAAATCATATAAAATGATACAGTTAAATAGCAACAGAGGAAACAAAATGTAATATTAAAAAAAAACAAAAACAGCAAACCTCAATTTCTAAACAAAGGAATAAGGAAATAAAGAACAGATAAGGAACATGAGGAAGAAATAAAAATATGATAGAATTAAGCCCAAGAATATAAAGAATTATATTAAATGCAAATATATTCATCAATCCAATTAGAAAGCAGAGACATTAACTCTGGATTTAAGAGAAAAAGAGCCGTCTTTATACTGTTTATAAGAGACACTTTTTTTAAGAATTAATTTTTATTTAACCTTATTTATTTGTTTATTTATTTATTTTAATTTGACCAGAGAGGGACAGAGTGAGAGGGAGGGAGAGGAAGAGAGAGAGAAAGTGAGAAAGCAAGTCGTCAGGTCCAGGACTTGAACCGTACTTAGCCATGTGGTAGTCCAGCACCCTTAACCACCACACCACCTGCCGGTCCCAAGACACATATTTTAATATAAAGACACGGAATAAACATAAAATGATGAAAAGATCTACACTGCAAATACTAATCATAAGAAAGCCAATGTGTCCATGTTAGTACCAAAAAAAGTCAACTTTAAGAGAAAAGTATCATTAATGATAAAGATGGATATTTCAAGACAAAATACTCATTAACCAAACTCCAATTTGGCTCTCCTCTTATGCCAATAAGACTGAGAAATCTATTTTTTTACAGCTCATAATTTCTTAAGGTTTATGAACCCCCAGTCTATTTATAAGCCTGTATTCAAAAACTACTTTTCAAATTCGTGTTATCTTAAAATTCAAGTTTGCTTTTCAAGTCCCTGATCCTCTCAATCCTTGACAACCATTCTTATTATCATTTACTTAATTCTTGCTTAAGTCATTTACCTGAAATGTCACCTTCTGATTAATGTCTGAGACACGGAACTGCTTCAGGAATCTCTCATCCTCACTCCAGAACAGGCGAATGTCGGGGATGTCATACAGGATCATGGCCAGTCTTTCTAGTCCTAGGCCGAAAGCCCAACCAATTCGATCTTGGGCGCCAGCTACAATTAGAAAACAAAACAAACCAATAGTTTAAAGAATACATACTAGACGGTGGCATACCACTCTGAGAATTATTGGTAACCCTGGCTGAGCGCCCACTAGTGGCAGTACACTGGGGAGCAGCTACAGAGACAACGCGAGAGTGTCTGCTCTCAACATTTTGCCTCCTCTCTACGTTTTCTTCCCTCATGGAAGCACTCTGTTGTAATACTATCTGCAGTATTGGCTTTCATTTCTTTTTTTTTTTTTTTTTTAAAGAGAGTGTTTTTGCTATACTGCAAGTGCATGCACTGGAGAGACACAGACAGAGAGACAGAAAGTAAGAAATCAACCCCCAGCAGGGATGGCCACACTGCAATCTCTTCTCCTCCATTCTCCTCTGGGGATTTTTTTCTGGGCACACATGCACATGTGCCCGATGTGAGTTTTAAGCTGCTGGGTCCAGGACTTGAACCATGGTCAACTACATAGGAGTCCAGTGATGTAACCATTAGGCCAACTTCAGGTCCCTTGTCTTTCTTTTCTGATTAAATTCCGGGTCCTGGTTCTTGCATTTGAGTTACGACTTTTCTATAATCTTTATCTGCCCTGATTAAAACATACAGCCTACTATGTTTAGGCTACAGAGGAAAAAGACAACCATCTCTGTTCCTCCATAGGTTCCTAGACAGGGAGATAGGTTCAAAACATGCTTTAGTGCATCATTACCATGCAGAAAGTGTGTCAGGCCTTTAAGGGCTTTATTTGAACACCACGTTTACTCTTAGTAATGGGAAGAGAGCGAGCAAGCTGAGGTAAAACTCCTATCTAGCGTCATTTCCTCCAAAGGTATAGTGTCCTCTTCAGATTATGTCAACAACACGAACTCTAAGGCTTTATTTCACATGCATGAGAGAAGATTCAAACTACTGCACAGAGGAAGGCAAGGGAGCACTTCATCCTGCTGGGCAAAGTCTAAGAAAAGAGCTCACGAGGGGACGAGATGGTGGCATGGGTGACACAGCAATCTGCTATACTAAACCACGTTGGAAGGTTTTGGGTTCACGACTGAACATGCTGGCTACATGTGTACCCATGACCCAGGGCTGGTTGACTCTGGGGAGGATTGTGGCACAGGGACCCTGACAGGGTGACTGACTGTCTCTCTTGCTCATGCAATAAACAAACAAAATCTCATGAAAGGAATATAATTCCAACTAGACACTAAAGGGCGAGTGGGACCCTGTGGTAGGCTGCGATGACCTGAGATTCCCAGCTCCCACGTATGTGTCTGGTGTAAGCCCTTCCCTTTGAGTGTTGGGGGGCTAGATTTCACACCTGTGATTGACTTACTAATGTAACGGGACTCCTTCTTGGCAGACTGGACACAGATGACCTGACTGGCTGTGAAGAGCTAAACTCCATGTAGGTAAAGGGTCAAGTCTGTGTCTAGGACCTCAGGAAGCCATGGAGGAGCTGAGAGGGGCCCTGGCAGCCAGAGAATAAAAGGGAATCGCACTCTTACCATCTTAAGGTACAGACTTTCCCACCAGCCTGTAAAGGATAGAAAGAAGACCTGAGCACCATTTGAACCTGAAACCCCCAACGCATTCCCATGACTTCTGATTCAAGGAAACAGTGACATCAAATATTTGCATCATTTGAAGTCACCGAGTATAAGATCATTTGATTTGTTAGCCAGCAAAAAACAAAAACAAAACAAATCCAGATGCCAAGTGTAGAAAAGGATGATAAGAAACTAGACTGAGGGGACCTCTTTAATAACAACAGGATGGGGTGCAGCACAGGAAGGCTGAGGGGTAGAACCAAGAGACGGACAGATGAGGTTCAGAGGAGTAGAGCAGAGCAGCTCTGGCCAGTGCTGCCACCGCTGCCATTCACGAAGGTGAGAGACGCCACCGAGAACTGGGAGCCTCATCAAATCATCTGTTTAAAGAATGAGTGGATAAAACATATTCAAAATGAGATCACAAGGAGCCGGCAGGTGGTGTAGTGGTTAAGGGCGCTGGACTCCCACATGACCAACTGTGGTTCAAGTCTTGGACTTGGAGGCTTGCGTTCTCATTTCCCTTCTCTCTCTCTCTCACACTCTGTCCCTCTCTGGTCAAATTAAAATAAATAAATAAATAAATAAAGTTAAGTAATTCTTAAAAAAAATGAGATCACAAAAAGCCAATGAGAGAGAGAGAGAAAAAAAAATGGCTCAATCAGGGAGCGGGAAGGTGGACATGAAGAAATGCAAGCAAGCAGTTGGTTAAGTGTGTTCCTGCGGAGAATATTCAAGTGAGGAAGAATGAAGGTGGGTCTTTAACCACAGGAACAAAAGGGCTCATGAAACAGAGAGAGCAGCTCCTGACCAAGTGGTCAACTCACAGAGTACTGAGGAGTGGGGCAAAATATTTTAGAGTAATTCATATTGATGCATAAAGATCTTACCAAGAGGCTGGTAATGAAATGAAGATGTGAAAATTAATATAACCCCGATGTATGGCTTTATAGCCAGTAAAAGGAAAAACAAATGAAATGACATTGCTCAGTCCTGGTGATGTGGTTTCAATACCCTCCTTTATGCTAGTTAGGCTATTTATATTTACAACGATTTGTAAAATATCATAGCAATACTTATAAAGATCCATAAAAATGCCCATACACTCTGATCCTTATGGTTTGAGTTGGTTTGAATGGGTCCCTGAAAAGTCCACATGTTGAAAACTTAACAGTCATTGTAAAGGTATTAAGAGACTGAAAGTTTAACTCTGGTAAGAAAGGTGGGGCTTTGGGAAAGTGACTAATGATTGGATGAGGTCATCAGGGGAGAGGCCCCATGACTGACTCCTGGTGGCTCTAAGAGGAAGAGAAGCACTCGAACACAGACACACTAGCTGTCAGCAAGAGGCCCTGCACTGCCTCGAAGCTGCTGCAGAGACCCCACCAGCAAGAACACCCACACCAGATGTGGTCTCTTGGCCACATCTTCAAAACCATGAGCTAAACAAATATTTATATTAAAAAAATAAATTGTCCAGTCTGTGGTAGAGTTAGAGCAACAGAAAAACACTAGACCTAAAACAGTTGGGACTCCTAAGGAAATGACTCAATGAAACCCAAAAGATAGATAAAGGAAGATATTCAGAACATTGTTACTAATAAGAATAAAAACAATCTAAGTATTCAAATTAGGGAATGTTTCATTTTTCTACAAAAGTCTGCTGGAGAGAGCATGCACCCCCTAGAGAGAGACAGAGAGAGAGAGAGAGTGAGAGAAAGTAAGAAAGCACTTCTCTGGGGAATGTTCTTGCCATAATCCCTTCTCCTCCAAGAGATTTTTTTTTTTAATTTCATTTTCTTTTAGACATTCAATCACATTATTATTTGGCTTACAAAATGGATATTTCAACAGGTGAACATTTCTCCCTAATAGAGTTGATAAAACTACAAAATATCTTCAATAGATAATACCACATTTCTTTGTGCCATTAATGCTACCCCATGTTACCCACGGCATTGCTTCTCCTAGAAACAAACCAAACTGTCCCAAGCCAAGGCTACCCAACCCCTCTTCTCCAAACCAACCATTCCTTTTCATCTTATTTTTCCTTATTGGTTAATGGAACCATCACTCATGTAATTCCTCCAGACAGTAACCTGGGGGCAAATTTTTCCTCCAAGCACTGCTTCATTTCAAATATAGACCTTTAACTGGTATTTCTGGATTTCTCTTAAAACTAACACTTCATTCTAGTCCTACTATCACAGCAGATTTGAGCCTTCTATAATCATCTCTCACAGGAACTGTTCCAAGAAACAGTCAAGTAGTCACCCAGTCTCTACTCTCTCCTTGTAAGAGTTCAATGTCTTTTTTTCTGAAATGTGACTCAAAGTTTGCACAAGGTTCATTCTTAGGAGCTCAAAAAAATCAGGGAACCAGCAGTTAGCGTAATGGCTATGTCGCTGGACTCCCACGTGGTCGACCGTGGTTCGCGTCCCGGACCCGGTGGCTTAGAACTCACGCCGGGTGCATGTGTGTGCATGCCCAAGATCCCGAGAAGAGAATGGAGGAGAAGGGATTGCGGCATGACCATCCACCCTGGGGGGTGATTTCTCGTTTTCTGTCTCTATGTCTCTCTCTGTCTGTCTGGCGAGCGCACGCACCCTATAGTGAAAACCTCTCCCCCCCCCAAAAAAAAATCAAAGGGTAGAGAAGGAGCAAGAGAGAGATGAATGCTTCATTCATTGCTCATTGAATACACAGATGGGGAATGCAGAGGATCACAAAATACTTCGAAGTAGTGCAACTAATGAGTATTTAATCCCATTTAAAAGGGGAGTCTACATACTACATACAGATGTTTGACAGAAGAGAAATATCAGACACAATAAACAACGGGCATCACTCCCAAATTAAGTCACCATAACGTTATGGGAAAATACTGAAATCCCCTCCCCACCTTTACTACCTTCCTCACAGTGGAACCAGGGAGCCATGAAGCACAGAAGGTCTTGGGAACCCAGAACCACACACAATAATGAGGTAGAGTCCAGAAATATGTCTCAGGAAAAAGGTAAATGAACTTCATGGTTAAGGTGTTGGACTTCCACATGGTTGACCCTGGTTCAAATCCTGGGCCTGATGGCTTGAAAATCACGCTGGGCACATGTGAGTGCATGCCCAAAATCCCAAGAGGAGAATCAAGGAGAAGGGATTGCGGTATGTCCATCCCTCCTGCGGGGTGATTTCTCACTTTTCCTTGCATTGTCTCCCTTGTCTTGCTCTCTAGCAAGCACACATGCCCTATGCCAAAAACATTAAAAAGAGAGAGAGAGCCACACAGTTTTGATCAACATGGCAATCTAGGCTCATGCAGAGCATTCCCCAGATTTGAGAAAGACCTGCTTTATCACCCTGATATGTCCCAGCTTCTGAATGGAACAGGTTAAGAGCAAGCACAGGGAGCACTGTCAGCTGGAAACCGTATCTTCAAAGATAGCAAAAGGAGGC